CCAGCATAGGGCCCGCAGAACAGGTTGGGAGCCACAAACTAGTGGCAGGAGCCTGGCTGGGAGTGTGTGTGTGTGCGTGCCTCCACCTGCAGTGCCCTCAGCTGACCACTTACTTACCTGTAAGGCTCACTGGAACGCATCAGCCTACTTTCACCTTTGGGTATAAGGCTTTTTCTGTGGAAAAACAGCCATCTCTATTCTCTTTGCTTTACAGATCACCTGCTAGGATGCAGGGTGCTTGTGGGACAGCTGAGGGGAAGAAGTCAGCCTTCTCCTCTGCATTGAGCAGGGGTGACTGGTGAGAAGATAACCAGGGGGCCACCAGTCATGTGATCCCCTTCTTAGCCTGGGAAGGGTCTGGGACAACTCTCTTCCACCCCACACCCTGCTTTTCTTTGTCTCTGCTCTGCCCCTTTCCACCCCTGCTCCTCTTCTTCCCCCAAGAGAGGTAGCCTGGGGGATTAGCAGAGTCAGGGGGGCTGGCAATGGCAGCAGGGGGCCAATGCCAGCAATGGGGGTCCACTCCCTCCCTTTGCACGCAACAGCAGCAGTGGGGGAAGCAGAGCAAGGCAGCCCCACTTCTGCTCACCTGGCGCGCTACTCAGGGGGATGGGACAGAATTGCCCCTGTGTAAATCACACCTACTGGGTGTGGTTCACTGTCTCACTTCCCTCAGCCGTGTTGCTCCGCCCCCTCTCCCTTGCTCAGTCTCCATGGGCTGCCAGATGGCCCCTTGCCCCTCCCACCTATGGATGTTTGGGAGTGCTACCTCATGTCGCCCCTGGCATTGAGCTATGGGAATGGCTTCCATGGGAACAGGATTTTTGTTGTCCTTGTGTTACTTTCCCCTGATGTTCTTGCCTCATGCCATCTGAGTTCCCAGGGTTTTTTAGTTACAGTTACAAAGTATCATTTGAGTTATGCAGTCCCACCCTAAAACTGATATATAAACACTGGTTATGTTGCATCCCAGTGCTGTTTCTTCTGAATTTAGCTCAGCATTCAGGTTTTTCTGGGTGGAGTTGAATGTGTATGGTTCAGGCAAGCTTGGATTTCTACCCAAACCCCAGAGTCAATAGCCAATTCATTGGTACAGTAAAAGATTGCTTAATATACTTTTTTAGATGTACACAGGTTCCCCATAAAAACAATTATTCAGTGAACAAAAACTGACATGTAGATAATAGTAATAATAATTAATAATAAATTGTGCATCTGGAACTCCTTTCAACAGAAGATTTCAAAGCAATTTACAAACTTTATTCTATGAGCCTCACAACACTATCTTGACATGTGTGAACAGATAGGGTCTGATTCTCCTGTTCAGTCTGACTCCTTTGTGACACTAATGGCACATCTACATTGCACTGTAACTTGAAATAAGATACGCAATTTGAGCTATGCAAATCGCGTATCTTATTTTAATGCTATTTTGAAATAACTTGTTTCATCATTTGGTACTGTCTACACAACTCCCAATTTTGAAATAAAGCACTATTTCTAAATCTCCTTTGTGCCTCATAGAATGAGGTTTGCAGAGATGTTGGAATAGCAAGCCTAAAATAATAGGATTGCTGTGAAGATGCGTGATAGCTTTTTTGGGTTACTCTGGTATCTTAAGAGGCTGTAAATCTGACATCTCACTAAACCAGTGGTTTTCATTTTTTTTTTAATTTGTGAGGCTCTAAACAATTTTGAATGGAGGCACAGACCCCTTTGGAAATTCAACCTGTGGTTCGTGGATCCCTGCCATAGAGATCTTAGACTGAAAACTAATAGCACACATACAATTATAAATGTTGCATATGCTCAGCATAGCAATTGGCACAGTCTAAGAAAGGCTCTAAAGAGTGCGCATCTCTGGTAAGGACTATACTTTTGGGGTTTGACTGTTAGGAGGGGGGAATTCATATATTTTGATGCTTTTTCTGGGATCTGAAACTTTATTTTCATCATCAGTTTTTAAGGTTTGATCCAGCCAGCCAAACTGCCAGATCTGGCCCATGGTCCAGAGGGAGCTTCGGGCAGGTTCTCTGCCCCGCCCCCAGACACCACTCAAAGCATCTGGCTGTGGGGGCCGTGTGCTCTCTGCATGCCATGCATCTCAAGGGGTGGGGATTCATGCACTGCCTCCATCCCCAGCACAATCTCACAGCTCCCATTGATCAGCATGCGGAGCATGGCGCCTGCCTGAGAGTCCCACTGGGCTACTGGCAGGGAGCCACCAAAGGTAAGTACCTCCTGGCCAGAGCCTGCACCTGGAACCCCATCCCTTGTCCCTCAGTCCTCTGCCCCCCTCTTACACCTCTGTCACAGGTCATAACCAAACCTCTGCACTCCCTCCTGCCCAAGATCACAACTTCCTCCCAGACTCTGTAGCCCCTCCTACACTTCTCCAGGTCAGAATTCTCTTCTGCACCGATACCCCCTCCCAGACCCTGCTCCCCCTTACTGCACCTCCTCTTTTAATATCATGGAAAAGTGAATCCCTTGACCACTTGCCAAATTCTTAGAGTGGCCCCCACCAAAAGTATTGCCCACCACTGCCTTAGACATAGTCCGCAGATTATAGATTGAAAACCACTGCCCTAGACAATGATTTTCATGATGTGGAGTGTGTTCAGCTGTGGAGGAAACAGTTTTATTGGCTCCTGTCTCTCTTCA